TACAGGCGAACTGGAACCTTCAGTGATTTCTAACTTACAAATAAAAACTCACACCACACATAGACACGCCAAAAAAAACGACGAAAATAAACCAAATTCACTTGGAAAAACTTGAAACCTTTTATAATAGCGAATAGAATAAAGCAGCAATATTGATCGTTTTTTTATATAATTATATCCTGTAGCATGAAGTTAAAAAGTGCATACGAATAAGTGGAATATCAATGTTATTATGGTCATTTGGAGATGAAATGCTTTGGAACGTCTTATAGCGAGAACGAGCACAGTGCGTCTCATAGTATCTGATTTTAACGACAATGATGCTTTTGCGATAAGTTTTCCCTCAGTATTTTAGCCACGGCCTGATTTTCCCTGGTATAATTTTCAATTTAGGTTTCATATACGGTACTCGACTGACTCGAGTATTTAATTAAAATAAATCTGCGTCAGGGGCAAACAGATAGTTACAATATTATATTTTCGTAATTCAACCGGGCTAAGGGAATACATAGGTGCACACACTATACATTAAGTCCTTTAACTGCTTAAACCAAGTTATCTAGAACGGTTAAGGAAAGTCACACACCTTTCTGCTCCGTAAATTCAAGGCTGCCATTTTGCGCGCTCAATGCACTTCGCCAAAATTTGGCCAACAAATGCGGCCACTGACCGCCTGTTAAGCCGTCCAAGGCGCTATCACATATTTCTACTCCCTCACACAAACTGAAATGATCTGGAATATCAGATTTTCAGGAAAAATAAAAGACCCTTTCAAATGTTGAAAATTTAAGGTTAATGTGCGCCTGCAGTTGTGTTCCAGAGTTTTTTGTGATAGGATTCGTGACAGGTTCAACAGGTACCATTAATATGTTTTGTTTCCGTCCGCACAGTTTAAAAGATGAAAAGAATTGTCTACCTCGGTATCCTATCAATTATTGAAGAACTGCACGTGTGAATAGCGAGTTTGGATCGGTGATCTCTTTTTGTTTTTAAATGTTGTAGCTGAGTCAAATTCCATTTCATGAATAGCCTCTGATCTAGCCTTACACTACTTGCCGTTTGTTCATCTGTAAAATGAACTGCAGCATTAGCTAAAAGAAAAGGTCGAAAAGGCTGAAAACATAGAGTGTTTTGATTTATACCTTACAATTATTTTGCCCCTTTGTCCTTCATGCAAACAGACCTGGCTTTATAAGTACGAGAAAAAAATTGAAAGAAACAACTTTCTTGAGTAATTTCACTTGGCCTGTATTCGAAAAATTCGGAAACAAGAATACAAACTGAAAAGGTTTATTGCAGCACATAGAATTGAAAATCTTCCGTACTTGTGGCGCGAATTTTTATATTTTGTATTCATTGTTACTACCGGTTTAGTCCAGACAGGAGCTCAGCATCCCAGGGTGTCATGTCGGAATCTAACAACGTAAAAAAGAATGGAAAAGAAAGTACTGTTATTTTATTTTTGCGGTTTTTTTCCTGTCGTATACAAAATAGTACCGCCTCCACTCGCTACTGCATCATTCTCGATTCCAGACCTCTTCTCTGTTGCACATGATCGAGGACGAGAAAAGCTCTGGGGATCCATGGAACAAGGTGTCTCTTAATATGCTTGGTGAAAAACAATCGGAGTGTTTCTGAACTAATCATAGAGGATATTATCGCAGTTATAGACGCAAATTTTACAGGTGCGAAAAAAAAGCCTGAATTTTTTCTGGTTTTCGTGCTCAGGCCTTGCCGGCCAAGAGGGGATAAGGGTTTGGGGACGAGAATGGTCGGAAAAGGTCCTGATAACAATTTCGTGGCTTAAACAAACATGACGCAAAAAATCACTAAGGATATATTTGTGTGCGGTACTTACATTGCACCATGTAATTCAAATTACTTTCAACGCGAATCGAGTTTGAAGACTTTGGAAAAGATTTAGAAGCACTTTTCTTCTCTCGATCTAATTCTCCTAAAGGGTGACTTGGACGCTAGAATAGGAATCTATTCGAAAGGCTTCTTGAAATTTGTAAAAGTGGAGATCTTAGAATTCTAAACGGCAGAGGACTAGGAAGAATAACTTTTCAAGGCAAAAATGGTTCAAGCGTCGTCAATTACCCAATAAATGACCAAGTTCTTTTTTGACGCGTTGGAATAATTTGATATTCAAAGATTCATTGTATTTGTCAGACCATTCTGTGGCTACTTGGTTAAATATTAACCAAAAATAACAGTTACAATAACAGCGTAGTTAAAGGAGATGCTTATTTTTCACTCAGTGAAAATGCGATGATATCCTTTAAGAAGGTGCAAACCATTTTAATCACAACCGCTAGGTAGGTTTAGCGATCAAAACATGTAAAACTCATCAAACCATTCTCAAACAAAAAAAAAATGGTTCGATAGAGAATGCCTTTCTTGAAAAGACCTGAAAAGACATGAATTAAAAAACCTATCAAACAAGAAACGTACAGACCCTTTGAATCTTATTAATACGAGAGCAATGTCATAAAAACTTGATGCGATACAAGAAGTTGCTTAATTACCAATTGCAAGAGGCGGCAGGCTAATAAAGCCGTGCGAATAATTAGTTCCAATTAAAAAACGTTTTTTTGGAATAGTGTAAGGTAACTTTTATGACGTAATGCAGAGAAGAGAATCCATTGTTTTCGATGGAACACGTGATACAGAACAGAGAATCCATGAGCCGTGTGCGTGTTTGTGAGTCCCGTGCTCATAACGTCTTCAACCAATCATCGGGTGGATTCATTTGCAGCATACGCGTATAGCTGTCGCATTTGCCCGCTGGAATTTTTTATTGTTACAGTACGTAATTCCTAACATTTCTGAACCAATTAAACAGCGCGCGCGTATAAGTAAAATCTTTGCTCGTCGGCACTTAGCGATAGCTATAACTACTTCTAAAAAGAACGGTTATTACAATGCCAAGATTTGCTGACTAGAAAAATGTGCGGACAATTCAGATACGAAAGAGTTTTTGCCTGAAAGCAGTTAAGTTCCCGAAAGTGATAGATGACATGACTAGGAAAGAAGGAATGCCCCAACTGTCTCAAAGAAACTTGGCTACAAATATTGTCGAAGTCTTCATTGTAATGAACCTCTTAACCCCGCCCCCACAAAATATTTGTAACATGTCGCAAGAAAATGAACGTCATGGAGAGACTCTTTTGTCCCTTGGACTACTCGATTACGGAAAAAGGTTAAAGAATAATAAATCACCATTTCCGGATAAAATAAGAAAAGAAAAGAAAATCTTGATATATTTACGCCCGTACATTGGAAAGTATTTAATTTATTTTTCTACATACAGTCAGTGCAGACAGTCAGAGCATGATTTCAGGCCCTTCTTTATGACGCAGACCGAAGCAGGTCTGGGTCTAGCTGAATATATGTATTAAAGGGGCGTCTAATACAAACTTAGTATCGTCGAGGGGGCATTTATTAGACAAGAGGCGTTTATCTGTGAGTGGGCGTTAATGAGATCGTACGGTATATTATAACCTGTCCAGCGTTTATTGAAGTGACAAAAAAAAAAAGCTCCACTTTCCAGTTCTTTTGTAAAGCGCTTGGTCGTTTTTTCCCTTGTCCGAATTATGAAGTTGTTTTTCTTTATCGTTTTGTATTTTAACAAACTGATAAGGTTAACCCCTGGAATATTTTGTGAAAGCTGTTTGCTAATTACGTCATACTACCCTCAGGACATTTTTTCGCTCAGAAAGAGTTAATGGAATTTATTTCCTTAGTACAACTCTGACTAGTACGAGAAGCTTTGAAGCTGCCAGTTCAATTGTCTTCTTTTTGTCTTCAGCCGCTGGCTCAGCACTTGTCTGGGGAAATAAAACAACTTCTGTGGATGCATTTTTATTAATTAAAGAAATCGAAAATGTAGTGACTATTGGAAAATGATTAAGAATTATTTCCTAAGCCCACATTGGATATGAGGTGCATGATAAATGACCAACGAAGCGCAATGCACTGAGTTGGTTATATAACCAATCTTGTATCCAACGAGGGCGAATGAAACAATTGTTTTATTAAATTCTAAACATTTGCTTTTTATTTTACAAAAAGGGCCTCTGTTATTCAAGAGGATTGAGGCAGTCGCCGGTCTAAATTCGCCGCTGCAGCTGTCCAACTGTTTTTCCGTAAAGGGGCTAAAGTTGGCAAAATGGCTGATAACGAAAATATTAATCAACCGGATAAAGATATTTTCAGCTAGTTTTGAACATTTAATTTTGAGGTTATTTCTATGGTCTATAAGAGTCTAAACTATGCAAAGTTGTTGTCTATTTGTTAAATGCATGCACTTGGTCAAAGGTTTGGAGAGCACCCGAGAAGGTAGAGCCGCTGAAATCTTGCGCTCTCCTCTACTACTGTTTTCGCGCGAGTTGTCTTTTAAGCCGGCTCTAAATTTCGCTGTTCGTTGAAAAACTAGGAAATTCCATGTCAGACGATATAATAGTAAAATGTGGCGATGGTGGCATTAGTTTCCCACTGTGTAATATAGCCGTTACGATACCTTTAAGCAATCATCTGTTGTTGGTCAAGTCGTCTTAAGTAACCGTTTGTTGTGGGGTGGCTTGGGCTCAGCAGATACCGCTAAAAAGGTACCAGACCTCACTCTCTTTATTGTGCAAGGCTTTATTCTTTTTCCATTAACTCAATTCTAGTTCTGATCTTGTTCTTAAATTGGCAGAAGCATGCATGGTTCGCCAGGGAAGCTGCACAAACATGGTCACAGCCTAAAAACGTTCACCAGGAAATGTAAGTGTGAGAATAAAAACTTGAATAGCTAAGCACAAGTGGCTACTAAAAACACATTTACTGATACCTAATTAATAGTCACAAATCATTTATGGTCATTAACATAAACTGAATGATAATCAGATCCATAACACATATTTCTACAGACTACTTCCTTACAACTTTTAGAGGAATTTTACAAGAACGTTAAATTGTAAACTATCCCCAAGAATAATTACCAGAACGTGCACGAACTAAAAGTGGTGCCAAATGATGACAGAGGCAGCAGCAAAGGCAAGCACTCCTGTGACCTGTTCTTCGGTGTTTTTGCTACCACCTAAATTGAAAAAAAAAAAAAAAACGCCAATTAACGGTCGTATAGAACATGTAATCAGATTATTGGCCGAATTTTTTTAGCAATTGGTTCCTATGGTTACAAGATATGGTGAGGGTCAATCCATTTGTCATCTATTAATCCGCTTTTTCGATGAAAAAAATAATGGCAGCAATTTTGGATAGTTAAAAGTCACAATTATGGCATAATTGGCAACAAACTACAACTTTAGCAGTTCTAATTCGTTCAAGTTTGAGTATAAACCTGATTGTGTAGCAAGTGTCTAATCCACGCAAATCCATCCCAACTCAAGAGGTTTCCATAAACCTAGAGGTATAGTTATTCGACCGTTATGAGTAATTTGGTACATTTTTTCCAACTTCTTATAACGTAATAATGCAGCATTCCTATCTGCAATTCAGATTTTTCAAGTCGCTTCGAGGTAGTATCGTTTTTGTTGTAAATCGCGTTTGTTAAATAATAGCTCTAGTATTTGTAATATTCCTGAATAATTTTTTTTTGTACCTGAACCAGATGTGGGAACAGTTGGAAAGGTCCCCGTGTTGCATTTATCTCCAGTACAGCACTCAATCTCACATTGCAGCACTGTCCATCCTAACAATGCTCTAACGTAACCATAGACTCTCTCACACGCTTGAGCTTTGTCTGGATCAAGCAGATCAATAATAATAAATAAATTCAGTTAACTTGAACTACAACGAGCTGAGCTAATTAAAACAAACCCTATAGGGTTGGTGCAGTCCACAGCTTGGCAAAACCATTGCCGTTTAGTTCCTATACTTAGTTTTAATTTGAAGTAGCTGTGTTTAACAATGTGGATTTCTTATTTTATTACCAGCACAGTTAATGCATCCTCGAAAGACCCCATGCTTGGTATTTCCAGATTCGTCGCGATATATTCCAGCTCCAGAACCACAGTGAGTTGTACCGAGTGAAGTTGGGTCGGTGGCACAAGTCTGCACTCGCTTATTTGCAGAACAAGTTGCTGGATCATTCTCTAAGCGAGAGTAGCATTGTGTCGGGCCAGCAGGAGTGGGCAAAAGTGAAAAAATTTATTTCAGTATTTTTTTTTATGGATCGTAGGGTTCTTACCGGCCATATCAGCTTAGTCTTAACCAGGCGCAAATTGCGGTCAGATGGAGTGACTGGGTGTAACTTAATGGAGCGGTTATTCCTTAATTTTTGGAAGCTTGGAATCGTCATTAGTATAAAGTGCAAAAAAAAATTACGTTACGGTTTAGCAACCAAAGAAATTGTTTTTTAAAAACCCTACATAATCATGACTCACGGAAGTTGCATCATCGATTTCATGACTAATTGTTCAAAACCTGTCAAACCGGTTATGCTAGACGCATCATCAAAATTGCAATAAAACGTGACATCAGCATAATATTATGTTAATGGGAAGAAATTTATGACTCCATCAGTGTTAATGTGTTCCACTTCTCACAAACGAGATTTTACCCAGGGTAATACCGGTTTTTTTTTTCGCGTGCAGGAGGATTTTTCGGTGTCGGCCGAAGCCCAATGCCACGAACGACGAAGTCACGAGAAAAAACACTATAAAGACTTGACCGAAACCGGAAAGCGCGTCATATAAACAGTCTCTGGTACCGAGGGAAAAGAGATTCCAGCCCTACTCGAGTGAACACCGCTTGAGCTAATCCTAAAATCCAGTCAAGTTCCCTAAATCCCCACTAATATGATAAATAATGATCGGCTTTCGCAGCGGCTTTCTTACGTAGGTAGCCGGGCTCTATTTGCTTAGCCCTATATGCACTGAAACGCATGTTCCGTGCCGATGCCCAGAAATGACAATGCAGTAGCTAATGTCGATATGCTTCTTGAACAGAAATCCGCTAATGTTGTGCATTACTTATTCTGCCACAGTTTCTTTTGGTGTTGGTTTTTTTAAAAAAAGGGCTAATGTTTTATTTGAAACCAGTATTAAAGTTAAATACGAAATAAGATAATTGGGGCATACATTCTTCTTCGTCATTTTCAGACGCCTTACTCCAGTGACAATCCCTTAAAGAATAAGAAGAATACCTAAGAAACGAGTAAGCTTCGCCCAAGAACCTGTTGTACACGAAAAAGGCAGAGTCGCTTAGAGTGTTTAAACTTCAGATGCACAGAAAGTGGAAAAGAATAGTTTCTTCATAGATACACTGAGTTCTCCAGAGTTTACACCCAGTCCATGAAAGTGGTGCAATCAGTGTGTCGATCATCAGAAAGGTTTCATTGAAACTTACGTGTTAACCTCCATTTTTGCCGATCGGTATTACCCATGCACATAAACGTAGGTGTGTAATCGAACATTATTTCTTTTCGCATTTGCCTAAAAATTTGTTGAGACTAGATCCTTTTAAATATCTTAATGAAAAGTAATTTCTTATAGTTAAACTTCTTACTTCAAAATTTCACCAAAAATCATCTCAAAATAAGCGGTTTTCATAGATCTAGAAGTATGGTCATTCGACCGCTATAAAAATGGTAATTTTGAACATTTTACGAACTTCTGATTGCGTAATAATGCAATATTCCTATTGACATTGCAGATTTTTCAAGTCTGTTTGATGTTAAATTCTGATTTTAAGTATCATTTCAGTAGTAAGCCGCACTTCTTTTATATCACAACCCTAAAATCAGTAATATTTCCCGATTACATTTCTCTTTTGTACCTGAACCAGGCGTGGGCAAAGTTGGAACGGTCCCCGTGTTGTATTTGTCGCCAGTACAGCACTCGATCTCACATTGCAGTAAAGTCCATCCTAGCAATGCTTTAAGATAGCCAAAAGTCCTCTCAGACGCTTGGCGTTTATCTGGATCAGCAGATCAGTAAAATTAATGATATTATTCATAATGATAAGATGAAAAAAAAAAAAAAAAAAAAAAAGAAGAAGGATCTCATATATAAATTTAAAAAAATCAAGAAAAAAAAAAGAAAAAAAAAAGAAACAAACACATAAAAAAGAGTAATGTTGGTTCAGTGTCCACAAATAGAAAAATGACAAAAAAGGCAAAAGCACCCGTTTGAACCACAGACCAACAATGGCAAAGTGGGGACGGTCCCCGTGTTTTTTTTGCCGCCCAGAAACGCCCCGATCCCCAATTGAGAAAAAAGTCCCCCTATAAATGCTTTTAAAAAGCAAAAAACCCCCTCAGACGTTTGGGTTTTTTCTGGAAAAAAAAAAAAAAAAAAAAAAAAATATAAATAAAAAAAAAAAAAAAAAAAAAAAAAAAAAAAAAAAAATAGAAGAACGATCTCATATATAAATTTAAAAAAATCAAGATTAAATCAAGTAAATATAAAGTAACGAACTGATTAAATAGAGTCATGTTGGGTAAGTGTCCACAGTTTGGCAATTGGCAATCTACGTCCGTTCCCTTTACATACTTAAATTTAATTTGATAGCTATGTTTGCCAATTAGGCAGTTTTCAGAATTATTACCAGCACAGTTTATGCATCCTCGCATGACCCCATAGTTGGTATTTCCAAACTCGTCGCCATATATGCCAGCTCGAAAACCACAATGAGTTGTTCCAAGTGAACCTCGGTCGGTGGCACAAGTCTGCACTTGCTGATTCGCGGAACAAGTCGCTGGATCATTCTCTAAGCAAGAGTAACACTCTGTTGGCCCAGCAGCTGTAGACAAGAAGACATTTCAGTCAATTTTGCCATTATAGTCGACTCTCTCAATGGACACCTTTGTAAGACGGACACCTCGGTCAAACGGACACCCAGAGTTGTTTACTGCCTTTCTTTACTGCCTTTAGTTTACTATATAAGACGAACATCGCTCTAAAACGACACTTAGTGCCGTTCCCAAAGGTGTCTGTCTTAGAGAGAGTTCAGTGACTGCACAGTGGACACCTCTATAAGACGGACACCTAGGTCAAACGGACACCTAGAGTTGGTCCCTGCCTTTCTTTCCTCCCTTTATTTGACTCTCTATAGGACGTACGTTACTCTAAGACGACACTTAGTGTCGATCCAATTTGTCACTGTATTAGGGAGAGTTTAGTGACTCAACAGTGGACACCTCTATAAGACGGACAGCTCTGTAAGAGAGACTTTGTAAGACGAACATCACACTCTTAGACTGTCACTTAGAGTTAGTTCCAAAGGTGTGCAAATTAGGGATAGTTCACCGCACAGCTGAGATTTTTCTAAAAAATGTTCCTTGAAGTCTCAAGAATTCTGTCAACTTCTATGGCAGAAACATGCCTAGTCTATTCACAAAAACTATCTCTAGGTAAATAAGATAAGTTACAATACTATACAGTACAGTAACTTTACTTTAAGAGGGAGAGGTAACAGAGGAAGAATATACAAAAATACATATAACATGCGAAAATTGAAGAACATTAGATATACTAAAAAACACAATGGGACTCGATAATATTTCTTTACATTTTGAGAACAAAAATTAAAAAAAAGAATAATGGATATTTTCGAAGGCACCCCAAATGATTTCTAGCGATGGAGAAAAATTTCGAATACATTCAAACCCTGCAAATATGGACAGTGGAAAGGCCATAAAGAGTGTCCGTATTAACGGATTGTCCGTTCATAGCGGGCCATGTTATTTTAGTCGTAAGATTTGACATATCTAACTTCACAAAGCCGCCATTCTGTGGACTAAACGCACGGAAACATTCAAAAATCGCTCAGTTTTGCTACTTAGTAATCAAAACCGTTCTCTGGATAACTATTTTGCGGCTGCCAAAATAGTCTAAAATTGACGTCTACAATTCATCCTGTTCGGTATACCCAGTGACCTACAAAAAGGAAAGGTCCTTTAGCACACAGTTGATGACAAAGTGCTTGCCTTAGTAAGGTTGCCTTTCTTTGAGAATCTATTGATTGGGCAAGAGGCAAGCGTCCTTCGTTGTTGTCCGCATAAACGGGGTGTCCAAATTGAGTGGGTTGAATTTCGAGAAAATGTATGTGCTTTTCCCAGGAACAAAGAAAACTGTCCTTAATAGCGAGGTGCCCTTATTAAGAGGGTGTCCATAAAGTGTGGTTCGACAGTAGGATGTATCGAGGACTTGAGGATTGGTTAGCTTTATATGAAAAACAGTTACATTAAATTGAATCATAGTGGCAAGGAGCGCAATAGTTCTTCCAAATGTTCAACAGATGACAGGCGTGAGGGAAACAGATTACGTAATTTAAATTAAGGGAGGAGAGGATAGAACTAAGACTGCTTTAAATGTTTGCAGAGAAGTAAGCAGTAGACCTCAACTCTTTTATGTCAGAACTACGTCAATTGTCATCATTGTGACTTACCAATTTGCTGTGTAAAAAGCAAAGCGATCACCACCAAACTCTTCATGTTTTGAATCGTAAGACACAATCTAAACACTCTTATGACAAGAAGCAAGATAAAGCGAGTCCTGAGTTCTGATTGGCCTATATTGCTCGATTGGGTTGACGTTAGGCGTAGTCAATAACACATATACAGTAAAACCCGCGACCAAAAAACCCAGTTATATACAAAAACCTGTTGAGCTTAAAATTTGAAACAGGTTCTTATTTTCTAGAATTTTTTTAAAATTCTGTTCACTTGGGAAAAAGGACTTTAAAATTATATTGATGCGGTCAGTGCTTCATTCCGTCTTCTCATAGTCATTTTTACATGAATACAATTTGGTATGCAAAAGGAACAAGCTGAATACCACTAAAAACTCACAGCTTACATGCTTTTTTTCCTTCAGAAAATAAGAAGCTATAAATTATTTAAGAACCTAAAAAGCCTAAATTTTTACTAATTACCGTTTATGTATAAACCTGTTGAGGCTGACTTGGAAAAATGCAGGTTCTTAGTTGCGGGTTTTTACTGTATTTCAAGACAGGAAGAACTTAATTTGATTGGCTGATATCAACTATACCATCATTTTTGCGTTCATTATAGCAACATACGTAGCTAGCTACAATCCTGAAAATCAAGTAGCAATTCCCACTTATAGTAACATATACTATAGCATAATAAGTATTGTACAAAACTTTAATATACTATACTAATCTATACTATTTTGGCTACTATGTGCCTTAACTGATGAGACCCAAAATTACACATTGTGGCGTAGCTTAAAAAAACGGTTTTCGAACGCTATTCAACTTTGCTTGGTAGGCCTCCTTACATCATGTTTATCAAGCGCTGCAATGAATCAGCAAAAGATGACTTTTAATGTTGCGTTTCAGTTGAATAGTTGTTTTTCAGTTCTTTGCTTTTAATTGCGTTCAGCGAAGGAGAACGCATGTTAATGCAGAAACGATCAAAGAAATTAGCCCTTGAATCTGCTTCTTCACGATCAACAGGGCACAAATAATACAGCCTGTGATAGCCTGCGTTGCAGTCGGCCCGGCCCACGCACTAGTCTAAACCATATACAGAGGGTTTAGAGCTTCTGCCGCAGACAAAGCCTATGAAGGACATCATATTTTTAGCAACCAGAGCTCAGTTATTCAAACGTTGAATAACGGTATGACCGGATAAATCGCCATCCACTGGATAGCAAAACTTGTTTCCCTCACTCTCACCAACTGGGAAGCTATTGGTTCGGTGGATACAGCTAGCGCTCTCATTGGTCGAGAGCCATAGCCGATAAGAGTATAGACCGTGGAAAATGACGTGATGGTGGCGCAATTTCTTTTTTTTTTCTTTCCTGTGCCTGTGCGCGATTTTCCCGGAAACTGCAGCAGAAATGGACCTCAAAAAACTGTCAATGTTTTTTGTAAAAAACAAATCTCTAATAATTTTGCGTGGTCTTTAGTTTTATCGACCGTAGAAATGACGGCCTTTCTTAACATTTCACAATGTTTTAGTAGACGATTTATGAATTTCCTTTGAAAAAGGGGCCATATCCTCCTCTCCCCCTAGGGCAGATCATGGGCGCAAGATGCATGTACCGGGCTACTAGGTCAGCGCTTTTTAAACAAAAATTGAAAATGGCGGACGAAGCCATTTATCCCGGTAATCTTGTGAGATAGGAAAATTTGACAAGAATTTTTTGGGGTACCTTGATTTAAGCTCGTAGGGATGGGCTTTTTTTAAGTATTCAAAACAATCTGAAGGTTGGTGTAGTACTGCGTGCGTATGACGGCTTCGTAGCGATAGCTTTAGACTATACCAGATGAGGAAAAGACAAATTCAGATGGCACGATAAATAAACAATCACAAACATTCAATTTTTTGGGATGTGCTTTATAGAGAAATTATAATTTTTTAAGATTCGAAAATTCGACAAGGGATTTTTGGGGGTTAATTTTTGGTGCTGGGCCCATTTGTCCAAAGGTCGATTAGCGCTAACCCGGGGTTAAAATTTTAACCTGGGTTTCTTTTTCTTTTGTTCAAAAGATTATTTCCGGATAATTTTCTCAATTTTTTTTAGAGCATCCAATCATCAAATTGTAGGCAAAATAATAAGACTGAATTTTCTTTTTAAGCTGTCATATCTGAATTCAAATTTCGCTCTAACCCCGGGTTATCTTAACCCTGCTTTGAATAATTCGGCCCAGCGTCTCGTTAGAAGCCCAAAGGATTTTTTGACAAGTGTTGATTTTTGCCCCCTTTCGATCATCCGCGTCACCCAAACACCGCAGTTCTTTCCATAATTTATCTGCCCTCTCCCGTGGGCACCCAGCCTTCTAATCCCGCGTTGGGATCACTTATTACTTCCGAAATATTTACATGTGTTAAGCGGACTTGCTTATGTTTTCTTTAAAAAGTTATTGCTTAAGCTCTGTCGACGTCAGGGTCGAATTTTTCCCGGCGTCGGATTTGATTTTCAGATCAAAAGCGCGGCATAAATGGAGATCTGTACAACAAAAAACAATGATTGTTCCGAAGTTGACCGTTTAATTCAGATGCCAGCGAGTTTGCAAAGTTCCTTCAAGAAGTACAGGTGTATTCTCGATTAGAATCCCTCGCAGTTCCTCGTAGTGTTTGATGTTTTCAAGCCTGTGTTAATACTTAAAGGAATCCACAATTTTATGGCCAGGGAACTGGATTATCTCCTAGCTTAACTGTGTTACATTCTCATATTTGGTCCCTTTGTTCGGTCCGTATTATAAATTAGCCTGATTTAGCAACAGAACAGGAACGTCAGTTGACGATGGCGCAGGCAAATCAATGGCAGAGCGGCAAATTGGACACCAAAAGTCGCGTTCAGTCCTTTCCGCGCGCTTTCCCGTCGCCAACTGACGTTCCCGTTCTATTGCTAAATCAGCCTATTATGGACAGGAGCGCGCGAGGCACAAATCAATGGACTAGTAGTTTATAGTAAAAACCACGAAAACGAAGCTAAAAAGGCCTTTATCATATGGCTTTCTTAGTCCGTGCGTTCCAGATCGAATTGGAATTTGGAAGTATTGGTTTTGGAGAGGAGGGGAAAACCGGAGTACCCAGAGAAAATCTTCTCGGAGCAAGCGACAGAACCAACAACAAACTGAAACAAGATACGGAACAAGAAATAGGTGCCTAGCAGAGTATTATATAACCCTTAAAACTCAGTTTATTTTGTTATTGGAGCAAGCAAACAAAAGAACATTACAAGCTGAAAACCCTAGTGAGGACAAGAATTTTGAGATTTTTAACGATATATGATATAAGACCGCCCAGAACGTCTTGCAGACTACATGTAAAATGGTCAAATTGCTGTTCTGAACGATGAAAGTATATCTCATGACACGAAATTTTCGCAAGGGTTTCATTTTTGCCGATCACAGATTTTGGGCGTTGCGTTTAGTGTTGCAAACAAATTTTTGCGGTGATATCGGTCTAGTAAAAGATGGTGTCGCCTCAGACTCTTCGTCGTAGTAAAAAAGTGTAAATAAAAAATCGCAACTTGCGGACTCCCATTCATGTAAAAAAAGTAATAAACCTCGGTGTCGATGCTCTTGCGAGAGTTCTATTTTACATGATCAAATTTTGGGGGATCATCGAAAAACAACCTCGAAAATTTCATGCCATACGGTATAATACCGTGGTGACGGTGGCCCTAGTGAATAGGCAAAAAGCCGCGTAAAATAGTGAACCGTCCCACTCCTGTTACTAAGAAACACTTCCTTACACTATAACAAGATTTAAGCTTTTATAAAAACATTACTCTATACCTACGGGTAATTGACAGTCCCCGGTTGTTCCAAAGCTGAAGAGCGCTATCCGGCGGATAAATAACTTCCAATGGACAAGCCAATATTGGGGAAACCAATTGCTTTATCCACTGGATAGTGATTGATTCAGTTGATTACACTATCCTTCTTTTAGATTAAACAACTGGGGCCTGAACGTGCACGAAATGCTACAGAATTAAATGAAAAGCTGGATAGGCGGTTTTGCTAGGAAGCCTAGGAACTAAAAGTAACACCATATGATGAGAGAGAGAGCTGTAAAGGCTAGCACACCAGTGAACTGCAGTCGGATGTTTATGGTACCACCTATATTGGAAAAAAAATTACATTAAAAAAGAAAGTTGTTGATCGACAGGAACGTAAATCAATTATGGATATTTGATCACTTTAGAGTCAGGTACTGAATCATTAAAAATTTTCCCTAGCAAATCTTTTTAATCACCTTTAATCTAAGACTGAATTAAAAAAAAAAAAAGGAGAAGGTACTAGGAAAGAGATTTTTCTTTTCTGAGGGTTCCCGACTTGTTTCAGTACCTCAGTAGCCGCTCTTTTTTCCAGAAATGTTTTGGGAAAGTACGCTATATCTCAAAGCTTTAGCCCAGACAGTTTGGAAAATATAAAGCCAAGCGACATCAGATCTATTACTTGTTAAGCAAACTTCGTGCAAGTACAACTCGTATAAAAACTGAAAGCAGCTCAAACTAGAACAATTATTAGTACTCAGAGAAATCCAGAACGGGAGCTAACTGAACTACGCCCTTACACGGTTTTTGTTTGGCAGTCTGGAGCTGAGGAGCAATATTCGACACTCCTTGTATCATGTGTTTAAGCTCTTTAACCATTTAATTATATAATTAGCTAGATCTTTCCACCATATTTTAACACTTAAACCCGGGAGGTTTGTTCAGCCATCTCATTTTTACTATGGTGGGATGTGAATTTGTAAAGCCTACAAAGTTTACGTTATACATAATTACTAAAGCAATTCATTTTATATACCTGACGATGCTGTAGAGGATAATGTTGGCACTAACTGTGAGTTGCATTTATCTCCAGTACAGCACTCGATCTCACATTGCAGCACAGTCCATTGTCTGCTTACTTTTAGAGCACCACCAATAATTCCACATGCTTTTCGTTTGTCTGTAACAAGAGGCATTTCAGACTGAATTTTAATTCAGTTTAGCCAAAAATATGAAAGTAGCCAAAACCAGAACCAGCTAAATAATGGAACGGAAGTGGATGGTTAACTGTACCATATATATAAATTCTGACAAATTCTGGTGAACAATGACCTAGAATGTAATAAGAACTCCGATTTTAGCCTTGGCTAAATCTACAGTAGAATCCCGGTGACTCAAACTCTGAAGGGAAACGAAAAGCAGTTCGAGTTAGCGGGGGTCCGAGTTACTGATGTCGAATTGAAAATTTTATTTGTTACATTAGAAATTGATAGTTATTGATTTTTCAGCACTTCAGTGTATAGTGCAATGTAAATTTAACTTAATATTTCATTCATGTACCGTGGTTACACTTTTTTATGATAAAATGTGATCTGTTCGTTGCGACAATTAAAATCAAATTCAAGTAGTTTTGACCAGCGTTAGAGTTTAAGTGTTTTTACCGATTATGCAAAAAGAAGAGGTAATGGGATGACATGCGAGTGAAGTTACAAGAACTAGAATTCCAATTATCGGGGTAAATCTCATTGAATCTTTGATCAATTTTTGATCGAACTCCCTCAAAAACGCCCTGCGTGGGAGGCTACAGTTAGTGGGGAGTTCGAGTTAACCGAGTTTGAGTTATCGGGGTTCTACTGTATACATGTATACCGGTACATGTATTCAGAGGGAAGATTTGGCTTACGCCCCCAGTTTAGCAAACTATACAACTGAGAAATGTTATCGTTTAATATTCAATTTGCAGTTAAAAGCTATGTTTTACTAACTTACCTGCACAGTTAATGCATCCTCGAACGAATCCATTGTTGATACTTCCATCCTTGTCGCGATACTTTCCAGCTGCAGAGCCACAGTGAGTTGTACCAAGAGAACCCGGGTCGGTGGCACAAGTCTGAACTTGTTGATTTTTAGAGCATGTTGCTGGATCATTTTCCATGCAATAGTAACATTGTGCTGGTCCAGCAACTGTTGGAAAAGCTAAAAATGTTTGTACAAGTTATTATGGACGGCAAATTCACTGGAGTTTATAATTTTTTTAAATTTTTTTGCTCTCTCGCGATCGTTGTTTGATCAAGCGCATGTGCATGGCTTATTTCGAAACAGCCTAATACATTGTACACTATAAATTTTTGTCAAAAAGACAACTGCAAGGATTGATCAAATAACGTGAATAGACTAGAGTTAAATTTTTTCGACTGACCAATACCAGTCTTCATCAGGGTTATTAGGAAGACAGCGAAATTACAGAAAAATTATGCAGTACTACAATTAAGACGGGAGTGACGTAGTAATTGGTGTTGCTACCTAAAAGAACAATATAAGATAGCAGAAAAACAAATAAAAATTCGTTGTATGCTGAATATATTATTATATACATTTTACACCAATTAAAATTCTTGTTTAATCGATAAGTGTATTTATCCACATGTCAAATTATTAAAGAATCTAACCCCTCATTTCACATTTTTGCATTCCGTTTTTTTCAAAAGGTTTGTTCTGTAAGCTGGTGTGGATAAAAAGGGAAAGCTCACTAGGTTATAGGTGGGCCTAAATCTGGCAGGGCCGAGAGACTGTTTGCTTTGGAAGTTGACAGCTAGGGTAGATATTAAATGATTCTTGGAACTGTTTCGCATTTTAGGAAGTGGCTTGGATTCTGGGAAATGTTTCGTTTTCTCGGAAGTGCTCTGGATTCTGGGAATTGTTACAAATTTTGAGAACTGGTTTGGATTCTGGGAAGTGCATCTGGGTTCTTGGAAAAGTTTCGGATTACGGGAAGTGTTTCTATATTCTTAGAATTGTTCTGATTTCTGGGAAGTGTGATTTCCTTTTGAGCCACCGCAAGATTATTATGAAAGAAATTTTTTTAGCAGTTTTATTGTGATTTCACCCGAGTCCACCGGAGCGTGCTAAAAACTCTCCCGCTCTATTTGTTAAGAGACACGTTTTATTGAAAAGGAGCAGTCAAACCCAAGTGAACCCAAGCGTGAAGTGGTATCATCTGAGTCATTGATAGGAATGTCAATGAATCGTAGTCCTTCAAGATATTCATTCTTCGTCTTCGGTATTTTCACAGTGCTAAGTAGTATTGGTGGAAGTCGCAACAAGTATAAGGCGAGGAGAACAATAGGCAAACTTAAACCAGGAGCCCATTCACAGATTTACACGCCAAACAGAGAACCTTACAAACCTTTCATGCTCTCATTCAGACAAGGCCAGATGCGCAAACTGATTCAGAAAGAATGGTTGATTCATAAACACAAAGTTACTCCTAGCTTTCAGTCATAAGCGGCCCAAGCATATCATCAGAAAGATGTCATGATAGAGATGTTCAGTGTTCCTGGAACACACTTAAAGTGAACTTCTGAATGTCCGTATCCTGACCCAAAGATATTGCGTCACTGCGATACTCATGATATCGCAAAGAAAAAAAACGGACTATGTATGGTTAAACTTCAGAATGATGGTAAACATATCATTACTAATTTGTCCGGTTTTTTTTATGCCCGCTATACAGAATTTACATGGCAGTTAGTCAAGTGTTGTCCACCCAAATTTGTCTCACAAACGATAAGGAGTAATTATTACCCAATTTCACATGCACCGCAGACTACGCAGCGTAATACAGAATTTTGCAAATTTCTCCAGTGGTCCAAGTTTTAACTTGTTACTGAATTATTTCAGTCAAGTTGTTTCTTATACCTTGATATGTTCCCAGTAAAGATTTTTTTTCGCGTTATTATTACCTGAACCAGGCGTAGGCAAAGTTGGAACAGTCCCCGTGTTGCATTTATCTCCGGTGCAGCACTCGATCTCACACTGTAGAACAGTCCATTGTCTGTCTGCTTTAAGAGCGCCATCAATAAGTCCACACGCTTGTGATTTGTCTGGAACAAGCAGTTCAGAAAAACAAATTGAAAATTAGCTACATAAACCAAGTCTGACATATAGGGTTTTTGTCCACCGTCGGCAAACTTTTGCCTTCTTTCTTTTTACTTATACTTAGTTTAAAAGAAAAATTAATACCAGCACAGTTGATGCATCCTCGGACGACCCCAACGCTGATATTTCCAAGCCTGTCGCGGTATTTTCCAGCTGCCGAGCCACAGTGAGTTGTACCAAGTGAACTTGCGTCAGTCGCACAAGTCTGCACTCGCTGATTTGCGGAACAAGTCGCTGAATCACTTTCTAAGCAATAGTAACATTGCGCTGGGCCAGCGGCTGTGGAGAAGAAGACAAATTTTTGTGGAAAGACTTTCAGCAATTTGCCTTGCAGTGTTAGTAAGATATACGTTGTTAGTTTTCTTACCTTGGAGTCCACCGGGTAGTTAATGAAGTTTCGTTAGGAATAAGCTTTCAAATATAAAATTTTATCGAGGCAACGACTTACCAATTTGCTTCACGACAAACAAAGCGATTACTGCGACCAAAATCTTCATGTCTTGAATTATAAAATAAAATAGAATGACTCCCGTGAAAAGAGGGTGGAACTGAAATACTTTCCTTTGCTGTCTATCATTATATATGCTGGCAAGACAGAGCGATTTGTGCCTTCTGATTGGCTACCTAACGGGTCACATGGCCCTTATTTACCAAGATTCTCCGCTTTGTCCTTGTAAGAAGAAGAACAACAACAACTGTCTTGGCCATGCCATAAAAAAATTATGACCGGGGTTTTCGGTTAAGATACGTTCGATATTGTCCTTCTTTTCTTTTCTATTTTCGTTTTTTCATGGTCTTCTCGGGTTGATAAAAATGCCATCTAAGATTTCGTGCTTGCGCAATTTGCTTGCGCTTGGTCAGTAAACCTATTGTGTTTAGTGACAAAGTAGCCAAATCTGATTGGCTAATAATCTCGGCCGGACATTTATGTTCAGCTTTTCGGCATCGATTACGTATACAACTACACACATTTAACCGACTAAAATCTAGAAGCGTCTGACTCTATAACATAAACTACACTTTACTTGCTACTTACTATACACCTGATTGAAAAATCGTTGTCGCTTGAAAAGTATAAACCATGAACGATGGGACCTAATGGATTTATGGGTACAAATTTATTAGCATTGCAAATTTAAAGTTCTTCTCAAAAATGTTTACATTTACGAAGCTTTTCGCGACGATGCATTCCAAAAAACGTAAAACATTTTCCAGTATTTACGGCTCACAACTTCACCTGTGCTGGACACATAAGAGATTTCTACAGTTAAAGAGCGTAGCCATATCGCTAATGCACACTTGAAAATCATAAGATAGGACCTAAAAGCGTTCTTGGAAGACAAAAAAAGACAACAGCATGCCTTAAACAAAGTACACTAGGGATTTGCATCCGCACGAGCATCTCGTGACACTGTAAACTTTTGTCGAAAGAACTTTGAATTTGCTTTGCTAATGAACGTACACCCATAAATCCTTGAAACCTCATCGTTCATGGTTTGTACTTTTTAGCGACAACGTTTTTTCAATCAGGTATATATGATTCACACAACGATTACTCCGACCCAAGTTTAGACAATTTACGCAGCTTAGGTTTCCGAAGTGCTAAGACTACATGCAAGTAACAGTTCGGATTTTGCAGGTCGGATTTCACGGGGCAAATTTACTTATTATGAAGAGAAAGTAACGACAATTCAAGTTAGCGAGATTGTAAACGAAGAGTTATGGGTTTAATAGGGCTAGCCTACCAGATCATTTTCCCCGCATTTCTTAAAATTCCGTTCAATGAACATCCCAGTATTTTGGGGTTTCTTATGGTAACCATCGTCGTGACAGTTTTACCATGTCATGCTACATCCTTGCTACATTGCCTTTTGCAAAGGCCATGACGAGACTGAAAGTAAAAAGATTCGCGACTTAAAAAGAGAAGAAGTTGTTTTCTCAAGTATTCCGTGTAGAAAAAAGGTATCAAAAGTTACTTTAATAACTTTACTTTCCATCTGTTGCTGGGATTTCAGCTGGATTTAAGGTTATGAAAACCAAAAAATACTTAATTATCGAAGAGGAAAAAATGAGACTGAAATAAATATTATCTAATTATATAGTTGTAACGTCAGTTCTTTGTCTTCGAAAAGGTTTACACCAAAATATCATGCAAATTCTTGACAGATAGTGACAGACATAAGAGTGTATTATTGAAGATGTTTCTCAGAAAAACCTCAATACATTTAATTTAATCCATGCATCGTGTGTTTCTCGGAAAAGATGGAAGTCTATGATGCTATGGAGACATCTTTCTCAGACTGAAAGGAAATCCATTATTTTTCGGTCAGTTGATCTTCAAATGATTCTCATGTGACACTGTCCCTTAAATAATATAATAACACAAAATTTTTTCTACCTCCTGACCAAGAGATATTTGTGAAAGTATACTAACTTCAAATTGTGTTGGAATCTGTGAAACTTGTGAACGGAACTGTGGATCGCTTCGCATTAATTTTTAAACCAGTCCTTCAATGCAATCTTTTCTAATATATTAACCTTGTTGTTAAAATTGCAGTATTGATTGCTTGCGATCCGCGGCCACGGTAACGATTTTCATTTCGAATCGTTTGCGCGATGATCGTGTAGCAACTGTTACAGTAATTGTCTAGTCCCTGTACGACGTTTTCCAAGGCCTTCACGGTCAATGCAGTTCGGTGACGTATCCGAGGCGAATAGGCAGTAAACGCCTCACTTCTTCGCTCGGACCACGTGACCCGACACGCTGGCCCGCGGAATAATGTGGCCATTGAATAATATTATTATAGTACAATATCTTTAAAGCTGTTACCGCGCATTATGTGCCTTTTAATTACCTCTTTTAAAGTTAATTCAATCTTCTTTAACTATCTTTCATTTGTTTTTCATTAAACTGTATAACTAACTGATCTTTATTCGCATTCCTACGAATTCGACAACTGGAATTAATATCAGCAACCTCATCTTTGCATTTGCACTTAACGGGGATCATCTAAAGGGGTAAAATGAAAAGAGTGGGATTATCCTGTTCTTTTTTTTTCCCAGAGAAAATGGGTTATGAGTCACTAGGACTGGTAGCCGAGCTGTCGCGAGTGAAGCTCGAGCAGCAGAGCACCGTGGGCGATAGAATTTACTTATCTATGCATCCAAGAAATTTTGGTTCTGACAAAATCGTCTGTACGTACCTACGTCCACCCCTTCATGTTAGCGGATGTGGGAATTTAAGTTTAATGTGATGTTGGGCATTCAGCTATGGTCAATTGACAGCTGTCAAAATAAAGTATCTGCTGACCAGTATCAAGTGACTGTATCGTGGGCTCAGGTGTTCAACTCATTGAGGTGATGTGTTTTTTGAAGTTCTTCGCTGACCACGCAGTTATTGGTTTTCAATTGATCGGAGGCTTAGGTCCATTTTTCCAGTTCGTGGTCAACCTCATTGTCTTACACAAATATTTCGATTTCAGGGGCGTAGCCAGGATTTTTTGAGAGGTACGCGGAATTCTCTTTGCACCCCCCCCCCCCCCCCCCCCACACACAACAAACCTAAAAACAACTATTTTAAAACTTTTATTCTTTCAATTTCTTCACTTTTTTTATTTATATT